AATAAAAGAGGGAAAGGGACAGGAAAAACAAACAGCAGACATAAAATGTGCTTCTATGGAGCAAATAAAAGTTCTGATTACATTGCTATGACTAAAATAACATGTATGATGAAGAGATTACCTCTATAAGAGAAGAGTTTAAAGTAGAAATACAAGAGCTCAGGGAAGGTATATTGAAGGTAAAATATAAGCTGGCAAAGCTCAGAAAGAAGTTAAACAAAAGCATCAAAGAAAGGCAAAAGGGAGCCTAGATACTGATAAATATTCATTCAAGGATGATGTAAGTAAGACTGTTACTATCTCATTTTGCTCAGGGAGTTAAATTGGATTGCAGGTGGAGAAAATGATGGCTCTCTTTTGTCTTTCCTGTCTACTATATACATCCTGGATATCATGGAGGAAGAGAGCCAAAACAATGAAATTGAAATTATATACATACACACACATACACACACACACACACACATACACACACATATATATATATATTTCAAGATATAAGTCACAGAAACTTTTGAGAAATTAAAAGTAAAGGAAAAATTAAATTTTAATATTTAATGAAAAGAAATTAGTATCCCAGGGAAAAGAACTGACATAGTATAGTCAACCATAAAGCATACATTAATAAGTAATTGTATTCAAATATAAAGAAAAAAGGACTTTAGGTATCCAAGTTAAAAAAGAACAACAACAAAGAAGACACCCAAAAGAGAAAAATCTGAGACTGGCCTGACATGGTACCATTCAGGAAGTTAAGAGAGTAAAGTTCTCATGGAGAGAATGATACACACATTTTATACCCTGAGAAATGATATTAAAGCATAAATAGAGATAAATATATTTTCAACATTCAAGAATTACCCTTCCTTAAAGACATTACTAAAGGACAAACTTCAGACAGCCAAGAGATAAATGGGAATATACAGGAAAAGGACTGCTGGGACAGTTGAATGCATCTGCCTGTAAAGCTGAGATCAAGACAAATGCAAGGATGCTGGTGTGGAGTGCACCTGCTCCAACACGGTTTGGTTAATGAAAACTGGCGTTGGAAAGTGGGGACAGGGCAGGAGGTCATTAATGCACACTATTTTCTCAGCTTTCCTCAGCAGTGCTTTCTAAAATATTTAAGCTTAACAAAATTATATTTAAAATAGTAAGGCAAACAGTAAGAAATAGTGTAATTATTCAAAATTGGGTGGTGGAAGAATTAGAGGGAGGGGAGAAAATAGAAACACATTTTATAAAAACATAAATAAAATGAAATGAAATTTCTATTTTATAAAAAATTTCTATTTTATAAAATGAAAAAAGAAATATACTGATTTTATAATTGCTCACAACAGGAAATCAATATGTATTGTCCAAAAATAAAAGATTCAGTTACGTTATAAAGTTATATTCATGAAGCTAAGCAGTTAGAACAAAAATGTAAATGTTCAAAATTATCAAAGAGTTACATAGGAAAACAAAGAAAACAGATCATGTAATGAGAGGTTTTTTTTTAACAAATAAACATATATTATCAGAACTAAGACATATCTATCAATGCAAATGGCCAAACTCGCCTGTGAAAAGAAAAGGACTCATTATATACTTAGTGGCCAACTGATTTGTATTTGTACCCGTACTATGCGTGGTTGTCTACCTGCAACCCACTGGCATTCTTTTACTTCATCTCAATCTTAGCTAATTGAGAGCCTCAAATCAAATAGCATGTGTTGATTTGATGACTAATGAAATCTAATGTCTTTCTCAGGTTTATTGTCCTTTTGCATTATTTGGGATATGTTCATCCACTGCTTCCCATCTAGTTAATGGGAACAAAGTCCTTAAAATGGCCCTCAAGGCCCTATGGGATCTAGCACCCTGTACCTTTCTGGCCTTATCTCTGATTTCCCTGGCTAGGTCTCATTCGCTGGCTCCTGCTCATCTCCCTGTACTCTAAATATTGGAGTGCCCTAAGGCCCAGTCTTTGGATTGTTTCTATTTTCTATATAGATTTACCTCCTTGGTGATTTCAATTGTGTAGTTTAAAAATACTATCAATATGCTGACAGCCTTCCAATTTATAAACTCAGCTGCAACCTCCCCACCTCCCCACTCCTGAACCCATCCTCAAATCTCTAACTGCCCACCCCACACGCCCATCTGGGGCTCGAGGGAGCCAGCGCCGGACACACCTGGCTCTATGTTCCCCTCTGCTGGGCTGTCTTCTGCCAACCTGTCCCTGGTTCAGTACTCAGTGAGGCCTCCCCAGGTCTTCCGAACTAAAATAGCAATACCTTTATATCTCCAACATTCACAGTCCCTGATTTACTTTTAACCATAGCATTGGTCATCATCTGATATATTTTGTAGATAGACAAACAGACAATAGTAAAGGTCAGATTGAAAGACAGAAGGCAAATATTCACATAACACTGTTTCCAGGCATTGTTTGGTGCTTTACAGATAGCATTAATAAATGTAATCCTCCCAGCAACCCATGAAGTGGGTACTACAATTATCATCTTTTTATAGAGGAGTCAAATGAAACACAGTTCAAGGTCACACAGCTAAGCGTAGAAAGTGACAGTCTGAAAAAAACGCTGGCTTCTGGGCTCTAAACTACATATTCTTAACCATTACACTTCATAGCTTTACATATCTATGTATATAGGGATGTATATATCATACACATATTTTTTTCCTGTCTCCCACTAGAATTAAGCACCATCAACAGAGAAACTTTGTTGTGTTCACTGTCTTAACCCCGGCACCTAGAACAGGGAACCTCATGTGTACTAGGCAATAAATTAAACTTTGAGAATAAGGGAACTTCATATATCTTTCAAACAAAATAAAAATTGATGCTGATTAAAAAAAAACAAAAAAAAAACTTCTGTTTGCTTCCAGCATAATAAAAAAAGAAATGTTTCAGGGTAATGTTTTTAAAACACTGGATATCTGCTTGCAGAGTTCTAGAAACTTTATGCAACATGAGGAAAAATTTTAAAAAATGAACATTTTTATTTCTAAGTCATATTTCCCAGAAAAAATTCTGTCATATTCATTGTTATCTACACCATCAGCATTAAGATAAAGGCAATCAGATTGATAAATTCATAAATCACCCCTGCACTTATACTTAAAAAAAAAAGAAACTTAAGTAGAGAGAAAGAGATAAAAGCATTACGTGGGGACCACAACAATGGCGATGGAATGGAAGGAAACACTGGAGAAATCACTATAAGTGATATTTGCAGAGACTGTGGGTTCATTTAATTTGGTGACACAGACTGACCTTCAGGTTTCTATCCTGAGTGACCTGTAGAGGGTTTTGCCACCAATTTTGTGAGGGTTGAGGGTGATGTGTTGATTATTTTACCTGTGGAACATCCATGTTGGGATGCTGAGATGGTTATTAGACACACAGGCCTGTAGTGCACGGTAGAGGGCTCAGCTCACTGACTCAAGAGTCATCAAAACAGGGAGGTGGTACTCAAAACCATGGCACTGCTTGAGGAGAGAGCCCTGGCTGCAAAGAGAAGCAAGCCAAGGGCAGAAAGCTGAGGAACACCAAGAGTAGTGACTAGCATTATATATTGTGCAGTACATGTGTTCAATAAATTCTGTGAATAGGAGAGAGTATCATTGACTTGCCAGGACTTAGAAGCACAGTCCTGAGATTCTGGCTTCTAATCAAGCTGAGAAACAGAGATTTTTGAAGCCACAGAGACTTCTTCACTCAAGACAATTTTTGCATGGCTAGTTACTTTTCCTGCATTTTACTAGACCTCAAAAATCTATGCAACTAAGCTGTAGAAAGAAGTAAAGCTACAGCCACAATCTATCAATACAACAAGTAATCACGGAACATCCCTGATTTGCAAGTATATCTTGTTAGGGCTGAGACTTAGAGGTAAAATGTGTGCATAAAATATTGTCCCTACTCTCAGAAAGTGTAAAATGCAATTTGAAAAGATGACGAATCAATTGAGATTTAATAAGTTCCTAATAGCTTGTATGACAGAGGAATGGTATAGACCACGGAGCTGCAGGGCTCAGAGGAGGGCGAGTGACACTGAGCTTGGAAGTTCATGGAAAGTCTTCTAGAGATGGGATTGATCTGGACTGAAAGACCAGGGGTCAAGAAGAGAAAGTTGTTCATGTGCATAGGTCTGAACAAACTCAAGGGGGTTTCAAAGTTCAATTTTCCTGTGGGAAGTAGTTCGCAAAACAAGTGAGAATGGAAGGATGGAGAGGCAGAAGTGGAGAAACCAAAGTCAGGGTCCAATGCCAAGTTTGAGTTGTCACACCCACACCCAGTCATTTGGTGGAGCATCACCTTTTCTTTCCCCACATTTTTGCTTTATCTGGGACCTCCTTCCAGTACATAGCAAAGGTCACAAAACTCAAGATCCAAAAGAAGACTTCCCTTGTCTACCTAAAAATGTGAATCCCACCTAGTTTTTCTTAAGAGTCAGTTCTGGAAGTAAAGGATTTGGGACGTGGACATTTGAGGAGGTAGTCAGCACTGGAAAGGAAGGGGAAAAATTAGTGAGTTCTAGATTTTTCCAGAAAGCAAATCCTATAGATGCTTAACTTATTGGGGATTTTCATTCCCACATTAGAGAACTCACTTTGGACAGAAATAGAATGTGGCTCTGATAAATTACTTAAAGTCAAATCTGATTAGAGATTTGACTTTAAGTAATCTCAGATGCCAGCCCGAGACCTAGTCATTTCGAGACAGCTGTGGTGTCACAATTGGCAATCCAACTGAAGGATTCAGTGGCTCACTAAAATCCCCTGCAAAGGATACTGATCCACATAACATTTTCATCTTTCAGTAGATGTCTGGGCTCTCCCCAGGGGACAGGGTCCCCAAAACAAAGAAGGAACAGCGTCTCAGCTGCACATCTTCACAAGCTTGGGAAAGCTGTCCTTATTTTCCAAATAGGCAGCCAATTTCACTTATGCATCCTCTTTCTACTTTTGGCTGCACTATCTGTACTCACCTGAATGAAGATATATTCGTCCTGGACAACCAGGGAACTGATGTCAATGGAGCGGGCAAAGGGCCCACTCCGCGTTGTCTCAGCACATTCCTGGATCCTGCAGGTGAGGTAGTGGGCATCTGAAACAGGAGGGCAGAGTGATGCTTAGACTCGAGGGGAAAGGGTAAGGGAGCTCCCAGCAGCACAAAAGGCTGTACTTCATGGTGGATCAATGAAGTCATTTATAACAACAGTGAGAGTTCATGTTTATGTCCACAAAATTTGTAATAATTATAAAAATGATAATATCTATTTTAAGCAAGGGAATGGGGAGGGAGTTAATTTCATATCATACTGGGAGAAAGAGTAAATTGGTATAGGTTTATGGAAGAACATATTTGAAATGTCTACCAGAAGTTTCAATGTGCATATCTTGTACCAGCTTTCTAGAAAAAGGCTCATATATTTTCACAAAGCAACAAGGGGAAAGATGTTCGTTGTGTCATTGTTCATAGCAGTGAAAAATTAGAAACAGGATAAATGTCCATGAATTAAAGAACATTTAAATAAACTAAGATACATACATATCAGAGTACTATGCTGTAATTAAAAGCACTAGGTAAATACATATGCAACATGGCAATTTCTCTAAGATGCACTGCTCCGCAACCTTTTAAACATTATTTAGCATCACGTAAAGTATGATCCAATTTATGTTTTGAAGAAAATTTATCTCTATAAATATATAGGTTTTTGCCATAGCTGCATAGAAAATAAGTTTTATTATATATATATATATATATATATATATATAAAACATTTAGCTATGATCATTTTGGGGGAAAGAAATGGACTTAGGACATAACAGAATTGGAGTGAGGCTTTTGCTTTTTACATTATATACACTTTTATGATTTTACAACAAGAATGCATTCACTTATATAAAATTTATAAAACTTGAAAATTACTTGTAAAAATCTCCTAAAGATATCAACAGCTGAACCCTCTACCCTCTCCTCAAGCAACCTAAAATATTTATGGCAGCAGCCATAGCTCAATGGGACATCTTTGGCTCTAAAAGCCATTTTGATTATGTCTACAGGGTCCAAACCAAGTCCTTTTGGTTTTTGTCCCTTAAAAAAACTACAGGTGAGTCTCTGTATATATTTGCTTTAAAATATGGTTATTATTAATTCAATGGAATGTAAAAATAAATGGTCGAAATGGAAAGTAGGAATCACTTCAAAATTAAAAGTGAATACACATTTATCACCTAAAACTATATGTATTATTATATATATCTACCTATGCAATTATTACCTTGTATGTGTACACATGTGTGCAGAGGTGTCAGGCTACAGTGGAGGGGTAATAGGCACCAAAGATAAAGAAAAAAAGATTTAAAGAAGTAAAACTTTATAACAATTGAGTTTAAGATAAAGGTATTTTAAATTATTCCTGTTTCTCTTTAATTAATGGTTGGATGGATTTGATAAGTATTTCTTGTGCACATACTATATACTGGGTATCATTTGGGCATTAGCAATACAGAAAATAATGAGACAGAGATGGTTAATTCTAAAAGAATCTGCTGTCTAGGAAGGGGCTCATTCATATGTAGCTATTACACACATTCATTTATAAACCTGATGCTAATTTAACGAGGAGACATTTTGATGAGGAATGAATTCTTTTGTACTAATACACACTTACTTCTCGAATGTCCATATTCGAGTGATGTGCATTTGCTTTGATAACCATAATCCAAACATGTTTAATATTGAGTTCATCCTATCAGCAGCCTAATCATCTGCCCAGTAGCTAAAACCCTTAAACTTTTCTTTCTCCTGCAACCCATACAATCTGGTCAGTTCCTAAACCTTAAATCAGAAACAAATTCTGCCTCTGAAGTGTCTCCAGAGTCTACTCACTTCTCTTGATTGCCCATGCCACTTGCCTGGTAAACTTCCTTGTCATCTGTGTTCCTGTTGCATGCCTTTCACAGCTAGGGTTCACGTGGATGAGGGATTGGAACCTGGGCAGACCTGAGGCAAGGAGCCAGGGTCAGCTCTGAAGCCTAAACCTGAGCTAACACCTCCCTGTATCAAAGCCACCTGCAGTGCTGAGTGCCCTGGGACAGAGCCCAGATATCTTCCTATGACAAAACATCTAATACACTCAACTGCCTAAGGAGCCCGATAGGTCATGGATAAGAGCAAAATGAGCTGGGGTGAGATGAGAAAGGGTGGCTGGCCCAAGGTCTCCAGGTCAAGGATGGCAGAGGGGCAGTGGGGGCCACAGTCAAGGAGCCAACACTCACATCTTTGAAGGGGGAGCTGCTTCTCAGTTCAGTTCAGCATTTGCATGAAAAAATAAGACATTCTGAGTTTCTAAGTAGAGCCAAATGCCCCTATTTTTTTTAATGTAAAACTTTCTGATTTTTCAAAATCGACAGCTAATTTAAATTTAATACATGAACACTGTGAAGCCAAACGAAACAAGCTTCCGTTCCAAATGAGACCACAGAGCCACTCATTTCTTATCTCTGTTCTGTAATTTGACCACAACCTACCTTCCCAGGAAAGGAGCAGACCTTCTTACCCCCATTCCCTGACCCTGTAGCAAGCCCAGCTTGTCCGACATTCTTTAACTACAGCTTGCATGTCCCTTCCCTTCCTCTCTGTCTTTGTTCACAGATAAAGCCAAGAGTGGCCTGGTTTTCCACTGCTGGCTGAGAGGGAAGGGGAAGGAAGGCAGGAAGCCCAGGCTGTGCTTTGGAGCACGATGCCTGCCCACCAGGAATACTTTTGGACCCACATAGTCTTAGTAATTTGCTCTTCGAATAAAGCACCAAAACACAGTGAAAAGCTGCGGTAAATACATGTAAAGAAGCCACAGGTGTTGACATGCTTCCTTCTTACCTGCCTGTGTCGCAGAGAGCTCCCTGCCCTGGTAATCAAGGCGCACACGCGGTGAGGGGGGAGTCCTGCTTGTCCCCACACACTGGCTCATTCCCCTCGGCCACTTACTACTCACTCTCTCATTGGGGCACTTTGAAAAAAAGCATCAAGTGTATTCAAGGCCACCCAAACAAAATCAAAATCTACCTAAACCTTGGCCAGTGGCAGATGCTGTGCCAAACTCATTCTACTTGTTGGCTCTCTCCCTGCTTATCACTGCCCAGCATGGAATGAAAGGTCCAATTTAACAAGAAGGCAGCTCTAAAATGAGTTTTTGAAATCACTTGCAATTTAGGGGCCTTATAGTCTTCAGCTGGACTCATGTACTGGAAGTCTCAACACTTTTATTTTTTAAAACATAGAGATATGGTAAGTGTTATGGTCCCCCTGCCTGGTAAGAACCCCAAGTAGGGAGATAGGGAAACTAAATTATCAGGCAGCCAAGCAGAAGTGCCTGAGGGCCGTGGGGGAACTGTGGGTCTCAGGGGGGCAGGGGGCACCATTTGGGTCAAACCTCACATTTGCAGAAGGTCTCAGATTTGAACTTTGGACATTACTTCCAAATGAGGCTGGATACAGTTGTAGAGATTCTATGATGAAACTCACAAAGACATTTATCATAGAACTTAAAATCCCCAAATAGGCTTCTAACGATTGTGATGTTTTTATTTGTTTTTTAAGAACACCAGATGCCAGGTGAAATGGAAGTGGTCCAGACGACCTGAGCACACTGTGGTGTTTGAGAGCAAGGCCTCCAAAGCTGGAAAGTGCTGGGTTTGAATCCAGGACTTTCTATGTGTGGATTGGCCTTGTCCAAGGAGCAGCGCAGCTTTTCATCTGTGAGATGCAGACAATACAGTATGTGCTTCTGAGGAGTTTCATCAGGATTAAATAAGATTATGCAGGAAAAATGTGTAGCACGTTATAGATACATTTTAACAGATTAATAAATGTTAGCTATTTTTTTAATTATGGAGAGGGAAAGGGATTCAACTCTCGGCATCTCTCATACATTTAAATTATAATAGGTAATGTTCTGTTTTATTGTGGAGAATCAAGAGACCATGGTATCACAGGCCCCATAGCAAAGTCATATTGTGAATTTATATCACTGTTTACTTTCTCTAAGCACTACGGGTGTTCAGACAAGAAAAAAGTGTGTCTGAGATGGAAAAGCCAAGAAGGACTTCAAGGAGGAGGCAGCCCTTGAGTTTATCCTGGATAGGGAAATATGCTACATGAGAAAGAAATTCTTGAAAAAGGGAGTGAAAGCTGTATATGGACCTTATCATATGTAGGCAAAGCTCATGGAACACACTACCTAATTACATGTTAATGGATTGTCTTTGATCCTTATTCTTGAACTTCTATTTTCTATCCCCCCCCTTCAAAACATCCTCAAAAGAAAAACTAGAAGGACAATATGAAGATCTCATTTGGATATTCCTGTGGAAAAACCAGAGAGTTATTTCCTAAATGGCTAATCCTCACAATTAACATATTTCTAAATGTTAAATGTCTTCCTGATGTATTTCTCATTGCTCCACTTAAAAAAACTAAAAGTCAAAGCCTTGTTCCCTCCATCATGAATAGAGGATTCTGCCTGGAAACTTTGGAATATCTGGCCCTATTTAAAACTAGCTCTGTTGCTGGCAGGACCTTTGGGAATGGTGGGAAACATCTCCTAGATGGAGCCAGTCCCTATGCTTTCTCACCTACGGAGGCTGGACTAAGGATCTCCTACAGTGAGTACGGCAGTCTCACATACACTGATTAATTCATTTTTTATTGGATCAAGGTATATGGAGAAGCTACAGAGATAAGACACTCCCTGGGGTTCTAGGAAGCAGAGAACGTAAGATAGGTTCTTAACCTCAGAGGGATCCAAGTCCAATGACAGAGACAGGACATTCACAAATGAATGTGCCTTCAGATCCACAAGGAGTAGAGGATGCTTAGAGAATGGGGGGATGTGGACAGAGAGACTGAAACAACCTGGCACCCTTAGCCTTCTTTTCTTTCTAAGGGGCTGCATTTCGGCCAGGAGTTTGTAGGGCTCATGGTGGCAGCCTCTGACTTCTCCCCTCAGCAAGACAAGTGTCTCATCTACATGAACAGATTTCAATAAAGTCCAGTTGGGTTCTGCCAAAACTTTCCAAAAGGGTCACCTCTTTCCCAGC